AGCACAAACCCCTCTCAGTGTGGGGTAGTGTGGGCATTTTGTTATCTACAGCAGCTGTTGCCTCTTTTTGAGGGTAAAAAACCTACTCCTGTTTAAATTTATGTTGCATTGAGCAAGTTGTATTGCTTGTGATTATATGTGGCTCAGCTGTGTCACGTGGCATGACCTGCTATAACCTGCCTTAATGCAGTCCACATGTTGTACTGAATGACACACATTAAAACATTCCACTTCTCCACGGAACTGTGTGAGCAGGTGATTTCTCTAAATGGCAGACATTCGCATGCTTGCATTTTAAACCTCCACCAGTTTAGCTAAAAATATCTACAAAAGCCCACCCAAAACATTTCCCATGGTTATTTTTGCAAATCGTTGGGTGACTTACAAAGAGCAGGGAGGGATGTATAAGAGGAAGTTTTAAATTATTTACATAATTTGATAGAATAGTGCCTCCTTTAAAAAATCTACTTTGTGGAAGTCACAAAAAATAACTTCACATAATCAGAGTCTTAGGGAGGGGACCCAGTCATATGATTATTAGCTGCTACTGCTTGGATTCTGGCAACTTGGTGATTATATTTCGCATCAAGCTAAATGTAAAAATAATGAAATAAAAGTTACTATGTCCCAGCAAACAACCCTCATAGGAATGCACACTATTTTTACCAATATTTTTATCCCTCCTATGTGAGAACAGAGGACATTATTTGTCCTGAATTCACCTTGAAGTGTTTGGTCATCAGTGATAAAATTTTATATTGAGCCACTGGCTAATTTAGTTACCAAAGGAACACATTAGTAGCACAGGTTGGAGCGGAATTCTTGTTTGTTATTAAGCAAACTAACCTAAAAGAGGTCTAACATATATATAGTCCTGGTTTTTCCAGCACCATGCTCTCCTCAAGTGAGGCAATTAGCCAGCTGTATGGCATGGAAAAGAGATCCAAGCACAGTGAGCCAGCACGGGTCTTGGGAGTTGGGCATACTGCTTAAATCCCAGTTCTAGTTCCAGCATGTACTAGCTGGGAGACCCAGTGCAAGTCACTTAACCTCTCTGAGCTTTGTCCTCTTTTCAAAAATGAAACAATAACATTATGCATGCTGTAGGATGGCTGTAAAGAGGAAGTTAGCTAAATTATGTGAAATGTCCTGTAGAGTGTTTGATGTATAGGAGGCATTCCAAGCAAGTGAGTTGCCATTAGCTTTGTTAAGTTCAAATACAGAGAGATAAAACCAACAACTCCTCTCAAGTAATCTGAGTAAAATAAATGTACAAGAGACTCTGAGATCTCCTCAAGATCTCCTTTTTTTTTTTTTTTTTTTTTTTTTTTAAAGACATGTTTGGGGCCCCACTTATTTTCTGAGAAATCTTGTTACAGATTTTAGAGCTTTTGTTTCCATTTTCCTTTAGTATTTTCTAAAGTATTTGAAAATATGAAAGACCAGAAGACAAAGTGCCATAGCAAAGAGAAGAAAGAAAACATTTTCTTACTTGAGATGTTAATTTTCATGATGTGATGTATACAGTTTTAGCCAAGTGTTGCCAAGATCTCCAGTACTGTTCGGCTTATTGAAGACAAAATACCAGGTTAATTGAGCCTATCAAGAAGGGTAATTATTTCTCTGTAGAGTACCTACTAATGATTAAGTTATTATCATTTAGAAAGTGCATTTGTACCAAGATATGTCCATATTGGGAGGGACGGAGATGTAATACAGCAAAATCCCAAATCTGGTGGGTTGGATTTGGTTGATATTTAACATAAAGTTGAATGGGAAAATGGCTACTGTATTGAAACATTTACTCTTTGCTTCTAAAAGAAAGATATAACTAACTTAACAGTTATGGTTCTTTCCTTCAAATAAGAGTAAAAGTGATACGGAATGGTTTTCAGTCATTTCTGAGGCTGTAACTTTACCAATATTACCAACCATTATTTTCTCATGTGCAGATGAAGTTCATATCTTCCCTGCTCTTAGCAGTTTTGTTTTTTTCTTTGACTTTTGGGGGATTTTTCTCAAGTTAAATATAAGGTTTTTCTGCTTTCTCTCCATATTTACATTTTCTTTGAGCTGCTTATTATTATTATTATTTACGTTTTATATAGCATGTTCTAGAAACAAGTAGTTTCATGTACTTTAACATGACAAAATTGAAATTAAACAGCTGGCTTGGTAGCTGATTCATAGTAGGTGTTCAGTTACTTCATACTGAATGGATAAATGGATGAGAAATGAAGCAGTGATTTAAGGAAAGCAGTATGAAAGAAAACTATGGTTTGTAATGAGTGCTGTATGCCGTTGTAATTATTATACTTCTTATAGTTTTGGTTATGCTGCTTTGATTTTGAGTTTTTCTTGTCACATAGAGACTTCCATTAGAATAGACATTTCCTAGATTAATAATAAACCTGATAAAACCCTCACTTAAACAATTTGAATTTGGCTGGGCACAGGAGCTCACTCCTGTAATCCCAGCGCTTTGGGAGGCCGAGGAGAATGGATTGCTTGAGCCCAGGAGTTAAAGGCCAGCCTGGGCAACATGCTGAAACCCTATCTCTATAAAAAATTAGCTGGGCATGGTGGTGTATGCCTATAGTCCCAGCTACCTGGGAGGCTGAGGTGGGAGGATAACCTGAGCCCAGGTGGTCGAGGCTGCAGCGAGCCATGATTGTGCCACTGCATTGCAGGTAGAGCAAGACCCTGCCTCGAAACAAACCAAGAAGAAAAAGGAAAGACAGGATAGTTGGTGAGATGGAAGTGACTTTGCCCTGAGTTTTACATGTGAACGTGTTATTTACTCCTGGAGTGTTATGCGCAGGTGGTAGTCTGAGTTTCATAGTAGGGATCACTGTGATTTTCACTAATAAATCACCTTTACAGAAGCACATGTGTTAAATATATGAGGGTAGGAGGTTGAGAGTTTGGTTTGGGAAACTGGCTGTAATTTGAAAAGAGCTTCCTGTTAATGTCTATGTTTTATATAATGCATCTACTAAACCTTATCAATGAAGTGGAAGACACAGAGGGAGAATTGTTTCTGAATGGGAAACTTTGGTAAACATGGCTACAAAAGTGCATGGCTATAATTATAATTTCTTTTTTTCAGGAATGCAATGTAAAATAAATAAGGATAAGCATTCTGTTCATGTGTCATCTAGTCTGAACCCTTTCTTTTACAGGCGAGGAGAGTGAGATGTAAGAAAATTCTATTACTTGTCCAAAATGGCACGAACAGTTTACGGCATAAAACGTCAAATGAGGTCTCTTGACTCCCAGTCCAGTGCAATTTTCAGCACATGACATTGCCTCTCAGTTTATTATGAAATAGCCAAATGATAGCATTTTCAATAGCAATGTAGTGTTTGTGCTATACTTACTGTCTATCAACACTGAGAAGGAGGAGGACTAGGAAATTCAAGAAAAACTAAAATAAAAGAATTTATAATGTGACTGAGATTGAAATAATACTCCAGTTAGAAAACAGTACAAGAAAGGACATACCTCAAACTAACTTATGCTTACAGAAACCAAATTGTGCAATTCATATTGAGAAAGGAAAGGGCTGGTGGGGAAGTGAGACTTAATGTAGAAAATGGCTTTTGAAGGGACAGTAATGTTTGCATAGTTGGGGAGGAAGAAGGATATCCAGTTAAGGGGAAAAACCTGATGTGAAAGTATGTATACTGTAAAAGAGCCTGTTGCACTGCTGGCTGGGTAGTGGCCAGGGATTTGGAAAAGGGAAAACGGGTTTTGATGTGTAGAGACAAGTGAGATTCAACTATGTGGTGTGTTGGGAAGATCATAGGCTTCGGAGCCAGGTACACCTGAGTTTAAAGCTGCATCCATCATTTAATAATTGGCAACTTTGCACAAGTGGCTAAACACTCTGAGCTTTGCTTTTACTCTTCTACATACTAAACATAATACCCGCAGAACTGTGTCAATTTAATACATAAAGTGTTCAGAGGGCCTTCCGCATAATAGGGGTACAGTACAGTACATGCCTCTTTACCTTCATCCTTCCATTGGTTTTTCTCTAATGCATGGCATACAGTCCTAAGAAATACATATTAAATATGAAGTATGTATCAAATAATATATATAAAATGTATTAACAAATATACATAAAGAAGAGACAGTCACTATGTTGGTGCTGGGGCTATTACAGAAACAGTACAGAGATCTGTCCAAGATCAGAAGTATATTCTGTAGCAGCACTAAAGAGTGAGAATGACTGGGCCATCAATCTAGAAGAATACAAGCTTCACCAAGTTAATTTTTAGTCCAAAGAACTAGACTAAGTGTTGTGGAGAGAGATGTTTGATTGATCTTTTATTTTAGCCAAAAATTATTTGCAGAGCATGACACAAGTACTTAGCCAAGATCTATCTGCAGAGCATGCCATAAGTACTGCATTATGTATCCAGAAGGTGAAATTTAATGATTCCAAGTACATGGATTACTTTTATAGAATAGTCAGCTTTATGAGCACTTAACGTCTATGAAGTGTATGTATGAGTATTCTGTGGTTGATATGCTAATTCTTGCTTCTTGCTAATTGGAAAAGTGTGCATAAGGACATATGAATTGTGGGAAGGGTCCTATTTACTCTCAAACGTTAAGGAACTTGTATAGAAAAACACCGATTCAATTCAAATGGATTATGGTAATGGGAACAATTTTGGTGAATTTTACGGTTTCCATAATTCCACAAATTAGCCTGATCTCTCTTTTTTGGCTGATCAATATCAGTCTGTATTTTGTTGTCAACACCAGTTCTGTGGGGACAGTCACTGCAAGCATGCATTGGCCACATATATAATTAGATGACAGTTTAAAGATTTTAAATGACACCTGTGGCTTGTAGATATATGTAAAACAGTTCTCCCATGGATCTTGAAAATAGTAGGTTTTAGGTACTTTCACTCATTCCCATTTATGGCTGTGAACCTAGATTGATTGATTGATTGATTTTTTTTTTTTTTTTTTTTTGCCAGGGGCTGTTATATAATCCTCACCCTATTTGGAATAATGAAAATATTTGAACAAATGCCATCAAACAGGTATCAATGCAACTCTACCACACTGACTTCTTATATCAAAAGGCCCATATTTAACAAAGGTATAAATGCAACTTAAAAACATGTGAATTAAGGATTGTAAGAAAAGTAAATTAAAACAAGTAAGAATAATTTCGGTTTAGAAAACCTTAACATGGCAAATTCCTTTTGTTTCTATAATTCAGTTATCCTAACATTTTCTGTAACACACGAGTCCCTGAAGGTGAGGCACACCTGTCTGGAGGTCTTTTGGCTCTGTGTACACATATTCCATAGTTTCCAGAAGTTACAATATGATTCTGTGTTTGATCTGATATAATAGGCATTGTTGTGGTAAAGAGCTTTCCCTTTATGGAAAGTAATGAGACCACATTTGTTCCTTTTTCACTTTTTCATTTGGACGATGTAAATGCAGGTGGTGCCTCGGGTTCTTGGGGCCATCTCTCTCTGGCTTTATATGTTGAAGAAGTCATATCAGATTTCAGTGTCAACTTTTCAATTTTATTCAAAGATTTTGACATTCAGGTGCTTGGCAGACATATCTTGTCTTTGCAGAGGTTATTTTTAAATTAGGAAAGAGGTGAACTGATGAGAAGAAATGTAAAGAAAAAATTTGTTAATAGATTAAGTATTATAATTCATATTTTTTTCTTTTAAGATTGTGCATGGTGGTAACTCCTGATCTTGAAGCAGAGAAGTATTCTACCATTTTTTTGGTAAAATTACATACACTTTTATTTGCTCACTAGTGTTTTTAAGATACACATTTTTCATGTTTTTCTTTTTCTCAAAACTCTCTGTATATATTTTCTCTTCGCTTTCTAATATATTTTCTACCAGACACCATATGGTTACTTCCCAGACTGTGGGCTTCACATTTTAATTTAGTTTACCTTTACTGCAGCATCATTATAATTAAAAAAAAAAAAAAAAAAAAAAAAACAAAAAACCAAATCTTAGGGATTTCCTATGTCCTAGTAAAAGAAGGATCAGCTAGGTTGTGCTGTTTAGCAAAAACCTTCACAATTCTTATGTCTTAAAGAACAAGGTTGGCTGGGAGTGATGGCTCAAACCTGCAATCCCAACACTTTCGGATGCGAAGGCAGGCAAATCACAAGGTCAGGAGTTTGAGACCAGCCTGGCCAATTGGTGAAACCCTGTCTCTACTATATATACAAAAAATTAGCTGGGTGTGGTGGCACACGGCTGTAGTCCCAGCTACTCAGGAGCTTGAGGCAGAAGAATCACTTGAACCTGGGAGGTAGAGGTTGCAGTGAGCTAAGATCGCACCACTGCACTCCAACCTGGGTGACAGAGCAAGACTCTGTCACAAACAAACATACATCACTTATGCTCCTTGCCTGTCATAGATCAGCAGAGGTGTTCTGCTTAATGTAATCACTCAGGACCCCATGCTGATGGAGCACCCACCATCTTGAACATTTTCAGACGTCATACAAGAGGAAAAAAAGAGTTCTGAGAGGTTGTGAACTAGAAATTAAATGGTCCATTCTGTAAGTGGCACAGCTTGTATTTACAATACATTATACAGAACTACTCACATATTCCTATATAACCCAGGAGAGCCATGTTCTACCATGTGGTTGGAATGGGATGGGCTGGAACTGCCTGAAGTGCTACAGCAGGGAGATTGCTGGGGTACCTTGATGTTGCTTAGAGGTTATGAGTCTCAGATGGAAGCATAATGAGAAGCTTGGCTTTGTTTGACAGCTCTGAAGATGACTGGCATCTGACAGAGTCTACTCTCTAGCCAGTGAAGCTTCACCATGCCTTGCACAGTGTGATTTGGACTCCCAAGTATGCAGTTCTGTTCTGGCTCCATTCCAAGAGTGGAGACAGCATCACATAATGATGTTAAACACAGGCTTTGGAGCTAGAGAGTCCTGGATTTGAAGCTTCAAGTCTATCATTTACTGTCCAAGTCTTCTTTTGAGAGTTATCTAATTCTCTGAATGTTAATTTCTTCATCTTTAAATTGGGGATAATTATAATATCAGTAAATACCATGCTTATTGTTCACTCCTTTCCCCACATTGACAAAAGTGGAAGCTTTATGAAGGCAGGGATTTTTGTCTATTTTTGCCACTGATTAATCGCTAAGTTGTTAGAACATTGATGTAATACATAAAAGGTACTTAATTTTTGTTGAATGAATAAATAAAAGCAGAGGGTTTTTATGAGCATCAAATGAGGTCATATATCTGAAATCTATTATACAGTGACTGGTACATATTTAGCACTCAGTAAATGGTAGCTATTATTTTACAATTCTGGAAGAAAAGTGATAGGTTGGGGTTTGCAGATAATAAGAGAAATCTTTTCTTGGTCTGTTTATAGCAAGATACATTGTAGGGAAGAGCCAAAGTTAAGTAAACTATGCGATGTGTTTGGAGGTCCAATTTGATTTCAGATTCAAGAAATATATTTGTATCCTAGACAACTTCCAGAAATCTGGAACATTCTTGTGACTGGCATTGTTTTGCAACTGTCTGGCTTACTTTGTTACTTTTCTTAGGGTCAAGACAAACTGAAATAGAGTTGCATCCAGTTGAGACTTCTCCAAGAGCCATGGGTTGGTTGACATCTGTAGTCCTGGGTTTGATAATTCCTTCTTAAATCACCTGACCATCCCACCATCTAGCCATTGAATTTAATATTCAATAAACATGGATCAAATACCTACTTTGTGCCAGGGAGTGAAACTCTCCTGCAAAGTTTCTTCTTATTGTGTTTTTATTTCCTGATAGGGTAGCAGAGATTTTAATTTTAGTATTTGAAGTAATGACAAAGATCCATAGTTCAGATTACCATAGAACCCTTCTGGCAACTTAGGTGTCATATTGTATGACAGTGCATTCTTTCCCATAGAATGATTATGTATCTTGTACAGCTTTGTGGGAGAATAAACTGAACTAGAAATCCAGTGAATATTCTGGCAGATTGAGTGATTGTTATACTCACCCTCCTGTTGGCATCACTTGTGGACAAGGGGTCTGCCCTAATAGCACCACCACTAAATTTTTGGGGCTAAGTGTAGTTAAATGTCATATCAAGAGTTTAAAATTTGAGAAATTTTAGGAACACATTTTTATTTTGAATATTTGTAAATGGTTTGGCATAAATACAAAAAAATTCTCTGCCGTATTTATTTATGATACTTCTCTGTTGAGAAACAATAATCTTTCTGCTTCTTAATCTAAATTGAACTGCAGTGTACCAATAAAACAAGTCACAACATAGAAAGTAAATTTTCTCTGTATAAATAATTAACTCTTTAAGATTTATTGGCCTTTCTCCATTTCCTCTTTTCTCTGAGTGGTGTAATCCAAATAAAATGTTGCATTTATTCTTGTCTGATAAAATATTCATAAAAGAAACCACTACCTTTGAATTTGGATTAAGAAACTATGAAGAAAACATGATTATGAAAGTTCACCCTTGTGGTAACTGCTACCTAAAGCCCATTAGCTGAAACCAACTGTCTGCAGAAAATCAACTTGTACTTTACCTTTGTTTTTGTTCCTTGGTTCTTGTTAAAATTTTCATTGCCTTTAAACTACTGCATGATTTTGTAACAAACAAAAGCAAGTGATTGGTTTGTGTTTTCATACTATATAGGCTACAATAAGTAAGCCAGGACTTGGCTAAAAAATCGTCTTGAATGATCTAAGTGGCTTTGGAGATAATGAGGAAGATCAGGAAAGTTTCTCAGTCCCAGATGAGCGGATTTTGCTGCTGCTTAAGTAATACTTAGAGTTGAGATTTTGATCTTTTATGATTGTTTGGTGTTCTTTGTCATATGGAGGAAAATGTATCTGAATCGATGCTCAAGACAAACTCGCTGCTCTGCCCTTGGTTTTTTTCCTGGGTTCATGTTCATGTGTAAAAACAGTCGGTTTATCTTGGCTTTGGCTGTTATCCAGGCTAAAGGATTCCAGCAAGACTAAGAATATTCTGGTACCCAGTTAGGAAACTGAGTTTACTGTGAAAAAAGTTCTATTGTTAGCGTTCTAAAAACTCCAATGTCTATAATGATGGACAGAACACAGTAAATGTTCTTAAGAAAGGTAGATCTCAATCTCTGATGCCATTTTTGCCCTTTACAAAAGATCTAAAATGGATGATTGTATAGCCAATCACTTGATTGTTTTTTCGGAGTATGTCAGTTGGAGGAACAAATAAATCTTTGTGCTCTGGCTCATTTTATAATAATTTTTAAATTTTATTATAATCCTCAGTTCAAAAATGAAACCACCTTTCACCTGCAAGGGAAAGCCTAGCAGAAGAATCACTGGGTCACCTATGTTTGCTGATAACATTTTTGCTGGATAGTGTTACACATATGTGTTTGTGTGGTTGACACATTATTTTTCTTGAGAAGCTGAATATTTTGCTTTGAGATCATGCTCTTTTAATTTTTTCATATAACAGTGTGGTTTCTTTTATAAAATAATGGTGAGAATAGAAGGTAGCAAAGTAAAGATTTTCACCATATAGGTCACGATTTTTTTGCTTGAAATAGGTCAATTCACAAAATTTAAAAGTCTGGGAACCAGTGAACTGAACAACATTAAACCTGGAAAGAGGCCTTCTGTTCCAAGTGCAGCTAGATTCCTCCCTTATAATTTCAGGGGCTGATTGTCTTGGTGAGGCTCAGTATCATCACCTGTCCTATCCCAGCCTAGTCAAATGGTATTGCAAGGGTTAGGGTTCATATATAGTGTTTTAAAGGAATAAAAAAAAAAGTTAAATTTGACTAGAACAGCAAGCCCAAAGAGGATCTGAACCAACAGGAACTGACATGGCTTTTGTAGCTGAAGTGTCAGCATTTGACTGTCTTGTTGTAGGGTAGACACATTTTAGTGTTAGTGTCAGGGTTTTGAGTAATTCTTATTTCCTGACCTGAATGAGTCCCTGAGTATTTCAAGACAGTTTTCCTTTACGTATTAGCCTGTGGTTGAGTATTATTGGATGAGTTGTTTAATTTTACTTATGAAATGATTACACTTACTGGTCAGACTTAGTGAACCCTGGAGCAAGT